CTCGACAGCCGGCTGCCATTTGCGGCGACAAGCGCCCTGGGCAGCGTGCACGCCTGAGAGTTTTGTCTTCTGCCCTGGTGCCTCTGCTCCCTGTCAGACCCTCTCTCTCCGTTGCCCTCCACCTCCTCCTATCCACCTTGTATTTATCCCTTCCTCTTCCCTCTTTTCCCTGCCCACCTCGAGAGGCATTTCTTTGCGTCAAGCCACCGCTATCAGTATCTGCATTAGACGCCTGTTCGTACCTAGGCCTGCTCGTGAGTCTCGCCAGGCACCGAATGTGCATAAATGCTTCTTTTTAACCTCGGCTGTTACTGTCCTGCAGTCTATCGCGAGTCACTCAAATTCACCCCGAGGATCCTCGTTTCCCCTCCCTTCCACCCGCTTCCGTCCGCATTTGAACCATGAACGGCCGTCCACACAAACAGTCAATGTCTGAGCTCAAGCTTCGTCGCCTGGCGGAGCACAATCAGCGGTTGAGGGAGGATTTGGCGAGGCCACGAATCAGAGTCAGCGAGGCGAGTGCCAGGTGCGCACTATCGCCATCATACCTCCTTTCTGTGCTAATCATATGCTGCTTGCCCCTCTTCAACCTTGTTGACATCGTTCGCGTGCATTGCTGTCACATGTGTTATCAATATTAGCCTGATTCGACACTGTAAAACAACGAAGGACCCTCTGGTACGTTATTTCTGTCCAAGCTACATCATCCATCGTTTATTGCAGGATTTGCGCGTCTTCTGGGCAACACATGTGCTAACCTGCGTGTCTCGTAACAGGTACCATCCGTATGGGGGCCCGTCGCGCGAAACGAAGATCCATATGCACAACAAGGCACTGGAGGAAAAGCCTGCTGCGTGGTCCAGTGACGCTCCCGATCCTCACCCTTTGCTCTTTCTCTGTTGATACATTTATACCATCGCTCCTTTTTATCCTCACCATCATCCGCGAGATGCATTTTCCACTCATATTGTTATGATTCATGCTACGTCCATACTCTGTGGTTCCAGGAGGTACAACATGCACGGTCTCACTCGGAGCCTGCACGCGCACTGTAGTTTCCTTTTCTGCTGATTCTGATTCAAGTAAGTTGCTCGTATGGGTTCTCTTAGATAAGTGCTGTGATAGTTGAATGTGGATGCAGGAAATTCGATACAGTTCATGCATGGTCACCTCGATCCCACTCTATACTCCGGGTCGGATCTGCGACTTGACTCGACTCGCTGAACGCCTCGGTAGATCTTGTGTTCTTACGCAGCGGACCAGCAGGATCGACCCTGAAGGTGGGGTTGGCATGAGTTACTAAAGGCTATCCGCTTGATGTTTAGACGTGCTGAGATGAGGTGGCGGCGCCGCTTGCAACGATATGTGCTGGATGCTTAAGTAAAACTCCGGATCTATGGCTTGTCAGGTGATGATTGATGCTGCAAATCGATGTCATCAGCGTAACTTTGGATACAATCTGAGCACGACCAGGCAGTGTGCATGTTGATCTGCAGTGTATTGCAGTTGCTGGTACCGGGCCTAGGATGGAGTTGGTCTCGTACCCACGACTGGGGACGAGACCAGATATAGCCCCACGGAGATTGAAGGCTCGAGAAGGGCAGTGTTCAACGTCATGTCGTCCGTAGATCGCATACATTCTAAGGTATCCGACACCGTGAACCAGAGCAGAGGTTCAAAGTATATTTTCCTAAGACGTCTGGCGTACTTTCAAACGGACATAACCTTGGCAGTAAGCGCGAGTCCGCGTGATCGCAGTTGATCGCAGTGTCTCAGTCTGAAGTGATCCAAAACCTAGCTACATAATGACACACTGGTAGCGCACGTACATTCACAACCCGCGACAGGCGGCGTCCTGAAAAGCCTGCGCGAATTCTTACCTGCACATGAACCGTTGTTTAGCGCGATGATGCAGAAAACGGTCTAGTTGCAGCTACAGATATCTGAGCCTCGAAGGAGCGCACTCAATGTACGTGCGTTAGCTTTCATTCCCCACTTGGTGGAATTACGTCGACCTGGCTGTGACTTCGACATGAACTTTTCCGCAGGAGAAAGAAGTACAGAAGGGCCCGTCGTCGGCCCGTCTGTCGAACGGAGAGTACGGAACACGTCTCCCCCGTGCAATGGACGTGGCGTACCTATACTACGAAACAAGATCGGAAATTAGGCCTCCCTCTCCTTAGGAAGAAATATGTACCAGCGCGGAACGGCGTTGCCACCAGCGTATAGAGGCTATGTCTTGCACGAGTGCTTCACATTGTAGTGCAAGAAAAACATTGTGAGTCTTTGATCCGGTACAGCTTGGAGTATAGAAGTATTTCTATGGTAAGCTCGCTGACCGTCGTTCTTACGGGCCCTGAGTGTTCCTACCGTTGGGAGACAAATATGCACTATTAGGGAAACATCGACGACGACCGCTTTGTCGGATGCTGCGTAGTAGCATATTGGCGTTAGCGACTAGGCTCAGCTGTGCTTAACTTGTGTATAATAGCATTATGCAGCATCAATCGTGTGAAATGGGGGGACTGTTTTCTCAGTCCGCCTCTTGGCAAATTGAGTTCGATCTGGAGTGAATGTGTTCCAATAACAGAATTCCCAATTCGAGCCTATGACTCACGCAGTAAAATGGATGCCTATAAACACTGTTAGCGCCTCTGAAATCAATTTGAAGACGTGGACAGACGCAGCTACTAAGTGCATGTTGTGCACGACCCTGTTAGTAGGCCGATTGATGTCAAATATGCCTTCATTCGTCACCCGGGAAAATTCAGAAGCACTAAATAGGTGATGTATTAGAGAGTCGGAGGCACTGGTGCTGGAAATATTACACAAACTTAGGATTTCTATCTTAAAGAAGGTCGGATATAGTTGTACCCGATCGATCAGCCTGGAAACGCCGGGTCAATCCAAGCCTCAAGGCCTCAAGGGCCATCTGTCGTCAATCTTGTGGGCTTCTCGGTCGAGAGAAGATTGTAAATTCCGTTCATTCATTTGCTCATTGCCCGGAGCGCCAACAGGAATTAACTCATCCTGGAAACGAGGGGGCACCAACTTCTCGGTTCAATTCTGTGGGCTGTGGCCGATAAGTGTTACTTCATCCGTGAACCGATATGACTGAACCTCCAGAACTTTCGACAACAGCGACGCACCCACAAGTTCTAAATCTGGCTTGGCAGGCCTGAGAGTGTTTGTGAATCTTCTCAAACCGTTTATGATTGGACATTAAGGTCAGAACGCGAGTCGCGACAGGAAAGAGTATTCGTCGAAGATAGGAAGCGGCGTTTGTATACCGACACGGCTGTTCCGAGAACACGTCTATATATGATAGGATTGTCGATGATGGCTCAGTGACTGCGCAATGAACTAAACGCAACTTTCGATAAGTAATCGGGATGACACCATCGCCGTACAAAGGTTGTACGAAAGAAAAATAGGATAGATACGGACCATAGTTCACGGACAATGTGTTTCAGCCCCAATATTCAGCTATGAGTCGCAAACCAGGCATGTGTCTACGTGCCTTCGATGTTTATTCAATGTGTGGGGTGGAAGAGACAAAATGAGCAGGATTCAAGTTGAAGAGGAGGAGGATATCCAGAGTCTCTCCTACAGCCCGGCGTTTGCCGCAGCCAATAGTGCATATTGTTAACGCAGCTGTCATTTTTGGTTTATATAAACTTGCAGTAGGCTGTTTGAAGAAAATGAATACATTGGTATGAATGGCGATACAGCGATATAGATGATGATGAGATGGGCGTTGGCACTGCTATTTATCCTGAGCGATTTGAGCAAATTCAGGCGGTGTCACGCGCCGATAGATGTCATCCACCGCATCTAGATATCTTTGGGAACATAACAGTTTCCCATACCACCCATACACTCCACGTCCCAATAGCCTTGGAGCCTGACATCTGTCCGTCATAATCGTAGTCATCAGGTCCAGAGTCTTGGCGAGCAATCCTCACCACAGCTCTATTGGGACTAATGTATGATACCCTCTCCCCCAGTGTCAGTTCCGGAAATTCTTATAGTTGATTCGCGCGATAGGAAGGTCTGTACCAGCATTGGGGTATGTGTGCGACAACCGCGACCAAGACTGGACCAAATTGAAGATGAGCGAACGAACGTCGAATAGCCAGATAGATCATCGTGGAACAGCGCCCCTGGATTCTCCGGATGAATCTCCGCAAGCTTTTCAAAAACCGGTTTGTCACTTGTGAGTATTAAATTGAATCGTTTCCCTTCGGTTCACCTCGCAACAGCGCGAAGCTTGGAGTTCGAAGTTTTTGAAGCTGCGCCCGATCAGGGCGGTGAACGCTGAGCTGAAGCTGGATCAGCGGTGTCCAGGGCATTGTAAACATTAGATTTCGTGAGATATGCACTGGAACGGCAGGATAGCACATTCAAACCGGCACGGTCTCATTTACTCGGCCTAAGTCACCTAGGTCCTACACTCCCCCCTTCAATTTTGGCTATCGTAACAGTAAGCTTGTATTGTCACCTAGGTTCTTCCCGCTTGTTCTTCTGTGTCTGTGTCATTCGACTCACTGTCGTTTTCGT